ACGTGCGTTTTGTTAGGTGAAAAAAACGGACGATTGATTGAATGCATTAAGAGAAGAGCAGCAGGTCGTCGTCGTTGTTCGGCTCGATTTTCATGGACGATGCAACGCACTCGACTCGGTACATCGAGGATCGAGCTCCTTTTATTTCTTCCAAGTAAATCCCTTCCCTCAGGGCTATATGCTATACCCTGTCACGTACGCGCGAAGCCAATCCTTCAGCTGTCTCGAGCCTTCTGCTGCTGCACAGGAGTAATTTTCATATACACTCGGCTACCGAATAATTGCTCGGCAGCTCCCTCCAGTGATTGATTGTATTTTATCATACAATCAAAAAAACGTGCGTACGCTACATGATTACGTTATGCTAATGGCTCGATTTCTTTTTTTCTCTCGTTACAGCGCATATCCTACCTGACCGCCGAAAACGAGAGGCTCGAGCGTCAGCTGAGGACCGAGGCCGAGCCCTGCAAGGACTGCACCAGCTCGCCCCTGCAGGTCCACATCAAGACGCTTAATTGGCAAATAAGTCAAGTGAGTACATGCGATTAATCAATGTATATGTAGGCCGCGCACGCGTCGATGTTGAACGATATATTTATTTATAACTTCGTATTATATACGAGTGTGTATAACAATTTGTCGGCTGCCGCCGCTGTGGGATAGATTAATTTTGTATATGTATGTGGCTTAAGCGCGCGGGGATTATTAGCCACGTTGTCGGAAGTGGAGTTGGCTTTTGGGATTGGAATAGAATTTATGGTAACTCGTACGGCTGCTACGAGCTTGATTATCGCTACTAAATAACGTGTGCTGCTGCTGGCCGCGCTGACTTCCGGATTGTTTTTCAATCACGTTAATCTCCGAATAAACAAACTTTCGAAAACTTCGTTTAACGTGTTGGTTCCGCGCAATCGCTTCATTTCTTTTATTTTTGCTATCGGATCCGATACATTTATAATCGTACATTTTCTAAATTTACAGCTGAAGACTCAGAACCAGACGTACGCCGAGACCCTCAAAGACGTGTCGAGGTTCTGCGATCGCGTCTACAAGAGCCTCTCGGCTTACACGAAGCACGACAAGACCTCCTACCCGAGGACGACGAGGTCTCGAAGCGTCAATTCCCTCCGAGGCAGCGATACCATATCTACGTCGACGACGGCGACCTACGACACTCTGGGGCCGATTTTGCCCGCGACACCTGCGCCACAGGCCACGTCGACGCCCAACGGGGCCGTGGCCAAGAGGGTCATGAAGCGCAGGCCGAAGTCGTCTATCGTCGACAATACAGTGATTGGAGTGTACAAACCACCGACGCCCGTGGCAGAGATAGACTCGGACGAGCTGTCGCCGGAGAAGCTGCTCAACGAGGCTCACAAGTAAGCTATAAATTCTCATTTTAAACATGGAAATGGTATTGAGGAAATTCCTAACGATTTTTTTTCACCCTCAGATTAATGCGAACGATTCAATCCGTCAACTTACTCCAAGGCAAAGAGCTGGACTCGCTGAATCTCATCTACGACGGAGTGCCAAGCTCGTGTCTCAAACCGGATCTAATGCTGAACCAGTCGTCGTCATCCGGTATCGGCCACAGCACCGGCACCGACAGCTCGGCCGAGTTCCCCTCCTCCGAGAGCAGCAGCAACGGCGAGCGGCCCGCCACCACGACCAACAGCACCGCGCCGAGCTCGCGCTCCAGCAGTTCCGCCACTGCCGACGACAAGTTCGATCATCTCGATCACGAGATCATCACCGACGAGTACTGCGACTATGTGGCAGAAATAAAAACGGCGAGGTTGGTGAGGAGGACGGCGGGCAATGAGGGTAGCGACGGGGTGGATTTCGAGTCTACGGTGGCTGAAGCGCCCAGAAAGACTTACAAGACGTATATCAGTCACAAGAAGGATAATACGAGTCTGAATCAGTCGCTCGGAAGTGAAAAGAGCGACAGATCGATTGCTGAAACTTCAAAGACGAGCTCCTCCTCTTTCGAGGTGCAGAAAAATTTGTCGTTGTCGGGCTCTGAGAAAAGCGTGAACGATCCGGCTCAAGCTAAAATCATTGGCAACGAAACATCGACGCCGAAATTCAGCAAAGCTACGGTCAAAGCCAGCATCAAACGACTGAGGGATTGGGTAAGACAGAGTGACAAATTGTACACTAATAACACTCGACCAGAGTATTTAATCTATTATTATTATTTTTTGTAGACTTTCAACGAAACGGATACACAAGACTCGAAGACAGCGCTGGACGCCTGCTCGAGAAGCGTCACCGACGACGAGAGCGGCTTCTCGTCCCTGTCCTCCTTCCAAGAGATCGGCCTGCCGCAGGTACAAAATAAGAATAATAATAATCACGGCTCCCCGTCGTCGTCGTCGTCGTCGTCACCCATCAAGAAGACCGGCTCGCATACCGAGGTGGGCCTGCCGGAAGTGCCGCTGCGAGCGGCGATACACCACAGACGATGGTCGTCGACGCCGTCCGAGGTCAAGGCCATGTTCAGGCGGCACAGCAGCATCAATCGTGCCAGCGAGACCATGAGCGTTTGGGTGTAATTTCATTTTGCCGCGGGGGGGGGGGAGGGGGATTTTAGATTTTACAAAACGTGTATATATTTTTTAGCTCGTAATTGGTTTTAAAAACGTATATTTATCACCCAAAAGGGTTTTTTAGTATTTTAAGTTCTGAAGTTCATTGTTGCGTTCGCTCAACACTACAAATGAAGATTGTATAGATTGCGCCGACCGCGTGAAGTGCGAAAACGAGTGAATGACGTTATCAGTGGCGGGTATTTATGTACTTATGGGTGGACACGTAGTTTTTTAATCAAAAACGAAATTTTAATCGTTGTTAAAATTAATTATGGAATTATGGAAAAACGATAAAAAACTAATTTTCCATTTTTATTAATATTTATCGGTGGTTGTAATTTTGCTTCCTCATAAAGGAAGTTATGTGATAGGCTTGAAAATGAGGTTTGGAACCAGACGTCGTAGGACAATTTGGTTTACATATTTGGAAACTACATTGAATTACCAACAAATGTCTGTATGTGTGTTTGTTTTCTCGGCCTTTTGGCTAAGGTAGAAGTGTAAAATTTAAAAATGAAATACGAATTTTCCCTTTAAAAACCAAACCCTTTCATTGATATAATTTTTTATGAGGAAGCTCTTTGCAAATAAATTGGCAGCGGTTTTTCATTTTTTTTCAGTTGCATGTTCGGGTCTCAAGGGTCGTGTCCAGTCGTCTTATCTCACTACCCGACACTGATTGTATTATCTAGTTCATTAGAGGAATAAATGTTGAATAATGGTCGGTGTTCTGAGCTCGTTATTATTTTTTACTACCAGCATCGATGTATCGGTAATGAACAAACGCAGAAGTTCATCAATAAATTTTCCGACGTTCTTCTTTGTTAATTAGTGTCTTTTTAGTTCTAGATTACATATTATTTATAGCAGTGCCAAAAATTTGATACACGATGACTGGTTACATGTTTTCTTTTTACTTGTATATAAACAAATTTTACCGACTTTCATTGTAGTTTTGTCATAGATTCAGTCTGACCTGAAATTAAGTAAATTTATGGTCATAAGTATAAAATACTTTCCTATTATAGCTTTATAAACAAATGGTTGTTTTATATAAGAATGTATTAAAACAGTATATGCCTTATGTATAAGATTTGCAAAGCATTTCTTTTTTTATTAATTTAGTAACAACTAAATTATAATATTTCATGAGCTCATTTGAGATTCTTCTATTTATTAAATTTTATCTGGTTCAAAGTATCAGTTATTGTAAGTTTTGCGTTGAATCATTTTTAATATTTGTCAAAAACATGTTCGAATATTGAATGATATGAATAAACTTGATCCTAGATATAACATCAATGAAACAAACTTCTAAACGATTAAAAAAAATTCAAATGAACTTGCTTGTAAATAGTTATGGTAAAATTAAAGAAAAATTGTCAAACATATGTTTTATCTCTTCATAATTTTTGTTCGTTTACCTTTCTACATATAATTAAAGACTTGTCATGTTATAATTACAATTGCTATAAGTTGGTTAGAAAAAATTGTCATTTTTACATTTAAACCCACCAATTATTATGAAATTTGACTGTAAATTTTATTAACAACGTTGCTGATAATTTTACTTATTAACTCGTACAAATTACTACCTTACCAACCTTTGTTTATACAGATACAGTGGTAAATTCTCAAATGGTGCAACCTGCTCAAATACAGGCAAGATATTCCATATAACATCGTTTCCGTAGTGTAGTGGTTATCACGTGTGCTTCACACGCACAAGGTCCCCGGTTCGAACCCGGGCGGAAACATCCTGTGTAAATACAATTTTTGCTCCAGGAATTAATTTTTGGTCCGTATTTACATCACTTTAAAAGCTACAGTTCTCGTCCGTTCACCGAATATGAGCTAAGTTGAGCGTGGTTTATTTTTGTGGTGCATTACGTAGGTATACCCGTTTTTCATGTGTGGCTATGTAACATTCACTGAAGCGAATAAAATCAATATGTAATTTATTCGACTAAGAACAATTTAACGCAGCATAGTGAGATTCAATAAACTATTTTTTTATTAACAAATAAAAATGTAATATAAATTATTAAAAATATTTTATCAAGTTACTACAAACGTTTGAGAGAAGGGCTCACAAAAATCTATAAAATTATTAAAACAGTCATAACTTGTTATTTTCAAGTGTTCAAACTTGTATCACGTTTTCAGATGGACGAAAATTTTTATTTTCGTTCAAATGTTCAGTCACGAAGGAAAAGTTTATTGAATATACTACACTTTATAGTGAAACCTTTTAAAAAAAATCCGACGAAATATTTTTGTTGTTGTAACTTTATTAATTAAAAAATTCTTCAAATTCAAATATTCTTTAGTTCATGCAAATTATTTATTTAAAATTTTAGAATCTAAAATTAATATTATTTGTGCCCTGCAGAATGAAGGATATTAGTGAAAAATGCGGTAGAGGCAGTTTCTGTAGTAGACATTGTAGTCTCAAGATTACGCGAGTACATGCGCCTCGATAAAGATAAATATTAAGCTCTATAGTTATTACTTGACATTAGATTTTTTTTGATAATTCTTGATTTATCCACCATAACCATTTTCTTACATCCGTGGCAGCGCTCGGTACCGGTGATCTAGAGCCACAATTTATATTAAAACTAATGATGCCAACTTGGACATTATTTTCATCAACCACTGGTCCTCCAGAGTCGGCCTTTAAAATAAATTTTCATAAAAAATGTTTTTTGTTTGACTCGTTGAACATAAATCAATAACTTTTTAAAGTATTTTACATGACAAAAATCGCCCTCGCCTTCCAAGCAGATCGTTCTGATGTGAGGGAAGCGCGTTTCCCTAACTTTCTCGTCCTTAGATCCACTCAGAAATTCTCTATATTCCTTCATACATTCTTGAACATTGTGAACTTGCATTTTTGTAGATCGTAAAAAGTCTGATTCCTCACCGTCCTACAAAATAAATTTGAAATTAATTGATTAAGATAACATTATTTGAGTTGTGCAATTTTTTATAAAAAATCATACTTCTGTGATACCCCAACCCAAGAGGGTAACGGTAGATCCGTCTGGAAGCGAGTAATTTTTCCCAGTAGGTAATTTAATTGGTTGAACCTTTTTACTAAATACTATGTCTTTTTTTAATTTGATCAATGCCATATCTCCGTAAGCAGGAATTCTTGACTAAAAATAATTGGACGTGTCAATGAACGCTAAAACTCCAAGTTTTTTCGTAAATAATGTGAAATACACACTGTCAATTTCATCCATAAAGGATTGATTTTAAACTCTTCAACTTTGTAAACTTTACCACCAGATAACTGAGAAAGTGATCCTACTCGCACCGAGCTTAACTTTTCTGGTCTTCGAGTGCCACTGAAAAAAGGATGAATTAAAAATTCTGAACTCATAAGTTCATTATTAAGACTTACTCATAAAAACGTATACAATGGGCTGCGGTCAAAATATAACGTTTGCTTATGACGGATCCCCCACAAATGTGTTTCGAGTTGTATCTAAAAGATGCTTGGAAGGGATAGTCTTCAATGGAATTCACAAAATCCCCATTTATTATCCTTAATTTACTCGCATCGCAGACATAAATTAATACCAAAATCGCAAACGCAAATATAGCACGACACATGATTTCTATGTAATATACGTTGGTTAATTAATGTAAGAAACTGATCGAACTTAACTTTAGTCTCTGCTGTGCGTCGTGATATAGACGCAAGATCGTGACTCACACATCGAGTCACGTCCTCGCCATTCCGTATATCATTGAATTTCCATTGGCAAAAATGAGGAAAATTTGTTCGAATCACGAATTGCTTATTTGTTAAAATATTTTTATGCATATCAATTGGTTACTCAAATAAACAATTACTTACAATCTGAGCAAATTTATTATAATTGTATTGCCTCTATTTTTTTTTAATTTTCGGTTTGTATTATCAACGACCATGCACCTTCTCATGAAACATTCGACAAAAAATCAACTTTTCCGGACACCTTCTTCCTTCACTATATACAATATATAGTTTGTAGTGTTGGAATCTTTTGATTAATTTTGTGGATGTTGATAATAATCTTCAAGGTTTTATAGTTTAAAAAAATACCAAACATGATTATCCAAACTTCTTTTATAAAATTTTTATAGTTTGATTATCTTTCTTCAAAATTACCAGGGCCTTCTGGTTAAATCTTGAAACAGATTGAAAAATTGAATATTCAAAAATCTCCAAACCTCCTTTGTTTAAATGTAAGAGTCATAAAGACTGGAGTTCGGTGTTATCAGTACGTAGATATAAGTTGCCTACATTGATTGATATTCTATTCTATTTATGCATAAAAAATGCAATGTAGCAATAAAGAAATAGGACTTGATGGGTATTGTATATCAATTTTTGTGATCGAAAACATATTCTTTAATTAGATGAAGTTTATGAGAACATCGATTATTCACGTGTGGTAACACAATCGAATACACCCGGTGTTGTTTTGGTTTCGCTTTAAATATATAATTAATTTACCTCAAATTTAATTATAGTAAATAATAAAATAGGTTAGGAGTAACTATAGAGCCTTAACAAAACTCCATCATAATTATTCGATTTTAGATTTCCTTCGATAATTCAAGGTTTATCCACCATAGCCATGGTCTTATGTCCGTGACGCCGCTTGGCAACGGTGTTTCAATTTCAGAGCAATCCATATTAAAACTTATAATTCCAACTTGAACGTTGTTTTCATCAATTGCTGGTCCTCCAGAGTCTCCCTTTAGAATCAATAATATTATTTATTTTTTTGCTTGCCACGTTGACAATAAAAAACTATGAAAATGCTTTACATTGCAAAAATCTCCCTCGCCTTTTAAGCATATGATTCTGATGTGAGCCATAATAATTTTTTGGTCGTGTTCATCCTCGAGCTTACTCATAAATTCGTTCCAATCCTTTATACATTTTTTATTATTATAGACTTGCATTTTCGTAGAGCGTAAAGCATCATTTTTTTCGTATGATTCGTCTTGGAGAACTTCTTCAGTTTCCATCTGTAAAACGAATTTCAAATTGAAGGATTGAGCAGTGCATTTTTAAAATTATCATACTTTCGTGCGACCATAACCCATGACGATAACCGTGGATTCATCTCGAAGCGAGTAATTTTTTACAGCAGGTAAAATTACTGGTTGTACTTTTTCGTTGTATTCTATGTCTTCTTTCAGTTTAATTAAAGCATCATCTCCGTAAAAAGGGATCATATGCTAAAAATATTTTGACTTTTCATTAATAATCCACGTTTAAGCTTCGTTTGTTGCTAGTATTTACTTCAAATTTTCTCCAAAAAGGATTCAATTTAATCTCTTCGACTTGGTAAATTTTGCCGCCAGATGATTTGGAAAGTGATCCTACTCTTACCGAGGCAAATCTTGGAGGGAGTGGCTCTTTGCCACTAAAGAAAAAAATAGCCGAATTAAAAATGCTCAATTATTAAGTTCAGTTCTATGACTTACTTAAGTTGGTATATACAATGTGCTGCAGTCAGAACATAACGTCTACTGAGTATGGTGCCCCCACAGAAGCTGTCGGAGAAAGATCGAATCGAAGCCATGAACGGATACTCTTCGATGGATTTCACAATATCTCCATCTACTATCCTTAATTGACTCGCGTAACAGCCACAAATAAACACCAAAACCAATATCGAGTATACAGAGCGATACATGTTTTCCGTGTTGAATACGTTTACTGATTGGCACCAATCGGACTTTCCTTATGTCTTTGCTGTAAGTCGTGATTTATTCACAACATCGTCACTTCCATATCGCGTCACGTTTTCGGTACATTGTTGATTTTGATTGGTAAAAATGAGGAAATTTTGTTACAATCATGAGTTATTTGTTGAAATGTTCCAATACGTATAAATTAAGAACTCAAATAAATAATTATTATGATCTAAAGAAATCAATCTTAGTTGCACCACCGTTATTATGATGGAGATTTCCTTTTTGCTGAATGAATAAGTAATGATTATTATCTTCACTTTCATTTCGAAAAGTTATGATTTTATTTAGAAAAAGTAGGATTGTCATTGAAATAATTGTTATTAAATTCTAACAGATGTTTCATCTTGAGATAATAGAGCTCTACAATAATCATTCGGTTTTATATTTCCTTTGATAATTCTTGGTTTATCCACCATAACCATGGTCTTATGTCCGTTACGCCGCTTGGATACGCTGCTCCTTGTCCAGTGCCGCAATCTACGTTTAATTGTACAACGCCAACTTGGACATTGTGTTCATCAAGTACTGGTCCTCCAGAGTCGGTCTTTAAAACCAAAATGTTTTTATATTTCTCTTACTTGCCTCATTGACAATACACTTATAAAAGTACTTTACATCGCAAAAATGGCGATGGCCTTTTAAGCATATGGTTCTGATGTTGACCAGAATCTGTTTTCTTAATTCTCCACTTTCGTAATGAGACTTGATGAAATCCCTGTATTCTTTTATACATTTTTTATTATTGTAGACTTGCATTTTCGTATAACGTAAGAATTCGTTTTCGTCGTCGTGCTCGATTCTGTGTATAGGATGATACTGTAAAACGAATTTCAAATTAATTGATTGAGGAAAATATATTTCAATTCAGGATCATACTTTTATGAAACCATAGCCCACGACGGTAACAGTGGATCCAATTGGAACCGAGTAATTTTTTACAGCAGGTAAAATTACTGGTTGTACTTTTTCGTTGTATTCTATGTCTTCTTTCAGTTTAATCAAAGCAATATCACCGTAGACAGGCATCCTGGTCTAAAAATAATTTAACTTTTTATTAATAATCGACGTTTAAGTTTCATTTGTTGTTAATATTTATTACAAATTTTGTCCAAAAAGGATTGACTTTAAACCCTTCCACTTGGTAGACTTTGCCACCAGATTTCTTTGAAAGTGATCCAACTCGTACCGACGTAAGCTCTGGTTGGAGTAGCTCTTCATCCCTACAGAAAAAAATAGATGAATTAAAAATTCACAAGTTATTAAATTTAGCGTTCTGTCTTACTTAGAGAGACGTATACAATGCGCTGCAGTCAGAATATAACGTTTATTTAATATGGAACCTCCGCAAATGTGTATCGAATTGTTATGAAAAGATACTTGGAACGGATACTCCTCGATGGACTCCACAAAATCTCCATCAATTATCCTTAATTTACCCGCATAACAGCCACAAATGAACACCAAAATCAAAATCGAGTATATGGCGCGATACACGTTTTCCATGTTGAATACGTTGATTGAGTAGCGCAGATCAGACTTTCCTCATACCTTTGTTGTGTCGTCATATAGGCACAATATCGTGACTTTTATTATGCATCACGTATTTCGTCCATCATTAAATTCTAATAAAACTAAAAAAATTAGATAGAATCGTGAACGATTATATACAATCTGCAACAAAATTATCGCAACAACAATTTTCATTGAAACTTTGTCAAATTTCTAACGCCACTATTTTTACGTTTTCTTGGAAATTTTTTCTAGTTTAAAGCCATTTATAATATCAAGAGGTTTGAGTCAATTTCGAGACAACGGTCGCACTTAGGCGTAACCCCAAAAATGATAGAAAAAAAATCAAATATTGAGTGAAACCTCTCGACATAATAAATGGCTTTAAACTAGAAAAAAAATCCACGAAAATAAAACAAAATCATCTTGATACGATCAAAATTGACGGAGATAAAAACCTTTGAAAATTCACAACATTTCATTGAAAATTTCTGTTGCGATAATCTTTTTGCGGAGTTTATTTATTAAAAAATTCTGACTTTCCCAAAAAAACAATAAAACTGCAGTTTTGGTACCTGAAAGCTCGAATCGAAGCGTTCGGATATAAATCCAGTGGATGCGGACCCAAGGCTCTTTGGTGCAGACGACCGCGAGTTTGGCTCGAGGACCACAAAAACTTTGATTCTCGGTATCTGGGGAATAGAGGCATTTCTTACGGTTATTTAAGCTTGGAGGTTTCTCTTCGATCATTATCAACTTCGTCTCCTTAGGCACGTGATGCCAATGGATCGTCGATTTGCACCTTGTTTTTTTTGTTAAATAAATGTTTAATTTTACCAAAGATAATTTTTTTTTTCCTTGTTCGAAAACGTTACGGTCAAATACATATAAAAGTCTGACCACAAATGTTTAATAATCTATAGGTCCGTGAAAACGCGATGAATTTTACGATTCACGATTTTCCATCGACAATATGATACACAGCAAAGACGAAAGTCAAGTTCGATTGCCGCGTCGATCGAGCAGAGTATAGAATACCAAATAAAAATGTATCGCACCATATACGGGATTTTATTAATTTTAGTGTTCATTAGTGTCTGTGATGCGACTAAATCAAGGATCATCGAAGGACTTCCAGTGAATTTAATCGAGGACTATCCGTTTCAAGTATCGTATCAATACGATTCTCAACACGTTTGTGGAGGTTCCATATTAAATAAACGTTATGTTTTAATGGCAGCTCATTGTGTAGAACCTTGGGAGTAAGCCATAAACAAGATTCTTGGGGACTTCGTTGTTCATTCTTTTTTTTTTTTCATCTTTAGCGGCGATCGAAGGATGCCAGAGTATAGCTCGATACGAGTAGGATCGCTTTCCTCTGTGTCCGACGGTGAGATATACGAAGTGGAAGAGTTGATAGTCCATCCTCTCTGGAAAAAATATGTTGTGCGTATTTGACTTCGATAAAAAATAAAATGTATATTTTTATTGAAAGTTAAATTACTTTTAGGGAATTCCTTATTGGGCTGATCTTGCATTGATCAAATTAAAAGAAGACATAGAATTCAGTGAAAAAATTCAACCGACGAAGTTAGCTGAAGAAAATGACGATCTTCCAGACGGATCCACTCTAACTTTGTTAGGATGGGGTTTCGCAGAAGTATGATTCTTAATCGAAAAATGTACAACTTCTTGAATTTATTTTGAATACGTTTCATAGTACGGAGACGGACCTCATTTCACCGAGGAATTTCTATTATCTACAAAAATGAAAGTCTATAACTTGGACGAATGTCAGAGGGAATATAAGGAATACCTTGCCACATACGATGATTATGAAGATGAGCATATCAGAACAGCCGTTCTACCTAATGATAGAATGATATGTTTGGTGGGCGAGGGTGATTTTTGCAGCGTAAAACACTTTTTTAATTTTTTGAATTCATTAGTCATGAAGCCAACAAAAAACCTATTTTAACCGAATTTATGTTAAAGGGCGACTCTGGAGGACCAGTGGTCGATGAAAATAATATTCAATTTGGTGTTTTAAGTTTTAATCTGGATTGTGGCACTGCAGCACCGGTGCCGAGCGGCATGACGGATGTGAGAAAATGGATAAAGTGGATAAAAGATAAATCTGAAGAATCGGAGAATGGGATTGAAACCCAACCGTCGCTTTACCCATCCGTGCTTGAAGTATAGGCGATTTTACTCCGTGTTAAAACTCGTGTAGAATCAATTTCACTAAGTTATGGAATCATCAACAACTTGTTTATTTGAAAATAAATTATTGTGAAGAAATCCGATATAAAAAATACTATAATAATAGACTCACACACATAGATATCAATTAAGATTTTGTAAACTATGGTTTTATCCAATTTCAGAGACGGATATAGATGCCGGGATTCATATTGTTTTCTGACAACACTGCATTTTCTTCGCATAAAATATGTATACTTGCTGTGAGATTCAAGCAAAACTGAATCATCTTTTGAAGCAATTGATTTTTGAGAACCAGAAAAATTAAATTCGAAGCATTGAAATAAGATTTTGGATTGATGGAAGGGCTAAGAAAAGGGTGAAACAGTTATGAAAGCTTTTATCAGTATAAAAACAAATTTTTATAACCGATTACTTTTCTTATAGAGGACGTAATCGGTGTTCGCCCACATCAAAATCTTTCATTAGTCCATATTTGATACAGGGGCGTTTAACATTTTCTATAGTCTAAGTATAAATCTAATAGTTAACTAAAGCTCGCCCTATTGACAGTTCCAAACAAGACGCCAAAAAATTCTCGGCAATTATTTCATCACAATTTTTACTTAAATTTTAGAAAGACCAGTACATAAATAACCATAACAATTTTTATGTATACATGTTTACAATTGTCAAAGAAAAAATCAGCGCTTTTCATTTTTTTGCTGATAAAATGCATGCTATATTCAAAGCATATGACTGCACTGACTGAGAAATAATGGGACAATTTTTAGGAGTCTACTTAAATTCAATAGAATATAATTTATTGTCTTACTCGTTAACTTCGCTATCTTTACAATATTCGTGTATTTTATCGGTGTATAATTAAATTGGATTGAAGTCCAAATTTCTGCACCCAATCCGTGCATGCTCAATCTTCACTACTATAATGAACTGTCTTTTGGTGCTGAATCATAATCCTTTTTCGTCGAAATTTTTTCTCGCACTTTTCGCATGCAAAGTCTTTGCCACCCTCATGAACTGTCTGTTGGTGTCTTAGTAGTTTATATTTTTCTCCAAATCTTTTTTCGCACTTGTCGCATGCGAAATTTTTGCGACCATCGTGAACTGTGATTTGGTGCCTGAACAAATCTAAATTTTGTCCAAATTTCTTCTTACACATGTCGCATTCGTAATCTTTGCGACCCTCGTGTATTGTTCTTTGGTGGACCAACAAATGATGTTTAAGTCCAAATTTCTTCTCACAAATGTTGCATAAGAAATCTTTGCGACCCTCATGGACTGAATTTTGGTGGCGGAGCAAATTCGATATGCGTCCAAATTTCTTATCACACCTGTCGCATGTGAAATCTTTGCGACCTTCGTGTACTGCTCCTTGGTGCCGAAATAAATCGGTTTTAAGTCCAAATTTCTTCTCGCAATTATCGCACGCATAATCTTTGCAAACTTCGTGCACTGTCCTTTGGTGCTTCAACAAATCTGACTGTTGTCGAAATTTCTTTTTGCACTTGTCGCACGCGTAATCTTTACGATCCTCGTGGACTGTCCTTCGGTGATTCAACATATCTGTTTTCCTTCCGAATTTCTTCTCGCACTGGTCGCAAGCGAAGTCTCTACGACCTTCGTGGATTGTCTTTAAGTGTACGAGCAAAGTCGATTTAAATCCAAATTTTTTTTCGCACTTGTCGCACGCGTAATCTTTGCGATCTTCGTGTACTATCCTTTGGTGGAGAAGCAAATGTGGTTTCTGTCCAAATTTTTTCTCGCATTTGTCACATGCGAAATCTTTGCGACCTTCGTGGATTGTTTTTTTGTGTCTGCTTAAAGTGCTTCGATCTACAAATTTTTTTTCACAAACGTCGCATGAGTTGTCTTTGCGACCCTCATGGACTGATCTTATGTGCACGAGCAAATGACCTTTTTGTTCAAATCTCTTATCGCACTTATCACATCTATAATCTTTGTGACCTTGTTTTACTATCTTTTGGCGCCTTATCAATTTCGATTTCTGTACAAATTTCTTTTCACACTTGTCGTGTACTTTCTTTATGTGCAAACGCAAACTTCTTTTATTTTCAAATCTTTTGGCACACTTTTCGCATAAGTAATCTTTGAAAATTTCGTGAAATATTTTTTTATGTTTTAGTAAATTTGATTTATTTTCAAATTTTCTCTCGCACTTGTTGCATGAAAAATCGTTCCGATCTTTGTGTACTAATTTTTGGTGCGTAAACAATCTCGATATTTTCACAAATTTCTTTTCGCAGTGGTCGCATTCAAAATCTATGCGGTCTTTGTGTTCTGATATTTGATGTCTACTCAAATGACTTCGGAACTCAAATTTCTTTTCACACTTGTCACATGCGTAATTTTTCTGATTATTGTGAACTGTGTCTCGATGTGTCATCATGCTTGATTCACAAACGTGTTGATTTTCATCTGAAACCAAAATGTTGCATTCACTTAATCGATCTTTAAAGTCTTTTTCCTCGGATTTCTTATCACTTTTATCCATCACGGTGCCTAAAATAAACGTTGGATCCTTCTATTAATTGCCACGAAAATTGTATTAATAACATCTATATTATGGATTGTTTCATTGGGAGAGGTAATATTTAAACTAGTTTGTACTATAAACATGATCAGTGCTCTAGAGACCATTTCAAAATCATTTGTACTCACATTGTTTACAATCAGGTCACTCATTTATTTGTTTATCATTTCCTTTACAATGTTTGAACCACTAAAATATTTAAAATTTGCGACAAATTCTTTGAAATTTTGTCTCAATCATGAATTAACTGTGGAGATATTGCAACGAGTATGAACAAGTTACTAAATAAAGATAAATTATGATCTAAATAAATCCGCATTATAATTATACCATCTGGAGATACATTCGATTTTTACTGACACTTTGTATCTTAACTTTACGACCCTTACGGCTCGTTGGCGCCGGTAACCGCGAGTTTGGCTCGAGGATCATGAACACTGATTTTTTAATTTCGACCAGATGATGTTTTTGTGGAGTACGCGTATATATAGCATCAAAATAATTATTGTAGGTATAAGCATTGATGCATAAAAATATTAGGAAGCTCTTTGCTAATGAATTGGCAGCATTTTTTTCTGCTACTATAAAGAAGTCCGACCACGGGTATTCAACGATTTATATGTTCGGAAGAACGCACCGCAATTTACGAGTCACGATTTTTCATCGACATCACGATGCACACCACAGCAAAAGTAAAGTTCAATCGTTGCATTGATCGAATACAATTTAGTATGCAAAAAATATGTGTCATACCATATACTTAATTGTGTTTTTGGTGTTCATTTGTGGCTGTGATGCGCGTAAATGGAAGATCATGGAAGGACTTCCCGTCAAATCTATCGAGGACTATCCGTTTCAAGTTTCATTTCAGTACGGCGACGATCACGTTTGCGGGGGATCCATTATAAATAAACGCTATGTTTTAACGGCAGCCCATTGTATCCGTCATTGGGGGTGAGTGTCACTGTTATGGCTAAGTCATAAATAAAATTTATACGAGCTGAGGGTTTCTTTTTTTCTTTAGTGGAGATCAAAAGCTCATAGAGTATACCACGATACGAGTAGGATCGCTTTCCTCTTTATCCGGTGGTAAGATCTATGAAGTCGAAGATTTCGTAGTCCACCCATCCTGGAAAAAATCTCAAGTGAGTATTTTTATTTAAAACCGAATAAAAAGTTGTTGAAAAAAATTATTTTTAGACACTTCCGTATTATGCCGACGTTGCATTGATGAAATTGAAAGAAGACATAGAATTCAGTGAAACGATACAACCCGCTAAACTTCCCGAAGTAAATGACGAACTTCCAGACGGATCCACTTTAACTGTGTTGGGATGGGGTTACTCAGAAGTATGAGTCTCAATTGAAAAATATTCAACATAATGGATTTATTTTGAATTTGTTTTATAGTATGGAGAAGAAACCTCTTCCGCTGAGGAATTTTTATTATATACGAAAATGCAAGTCTATAATATGGACAAGTGTATAAGGGAATATAGAACTTATCTTGATTTCACATACGAAGACCCGGCATTCAGAACAGTCGTTCTTCCTCATGATAAAATGATATGTTTGGTGGGCGAGGGCGATTTTTGCACAGTAAAATACTCTTCTAAGTTTTTAAATTTATTTACAATATGAAGACAATAAAAAACCTATTTTACCCTAATTTATGTTAAAGGGTGACTCGGGAGGACCAGTAGTTGATGAAAACAATGTCCAAGTGGGCATTATAAGTTTTAATTTAGATTGTGGCACTAAAGCACCGGTGCCGAGCGCCGTCACGGATGTAAGAAAATGGTTAAAGTGGATAAAAGATGCATCTGAAATCGAAGAACAGGATGAAAGCTCAATTGTCTAATAATGTATGCCCGCGAGAGCCATAGATGACTCGTTATTGTTTGCTGCACTTTAAAACTCGTGTAGAATTAATTTCAATGCGTTATAAAATTAATTACTACTTGTTTATTTGAAAATAAAATATTATCAATGAACTCAGTTTTAAATACAAAACAAAAATAAAAATTATTTGAAAAACAATAAGAATATACTTAGATCGAAAATATTTATTTTTAAAATTAAAAAAAAATTATCAAACAAGTGTTCGATCTTGTCATAAATTCTTTCCTATATCGTACTAAAATATAGATAACTAAAATATAACAATAAATTGGTTTGAAAAAAGGATTGTGCTTAGCGTAGCACGAGGGAACTAGTACCTTACAAGATTGAAAACCACTAGCTACCAGGGAGTGGACTTGAATATTTTTCCGTAATATTCATAATAAAATTTTCTATGCAATGACGAAAATTCTGATCATATGTGTTTAACGACGTATACAAATCCATGTGGACGTGACGCGATTTAAAGAGTCACGATTTTCTATCGACATCACGATATTGCACAGCAGAGACAAAAGTAAAGTTCGATCGAACAAAGTATATTACAAAAAATATGTGTCCTGTCTTACACTGGGTTGTGATTTTGGTTTTCATTTGTGGCTATAACGCGCGTAAATTGAGGATCACAGAAGGACTTCGCGTGAAATCTATCGAAGATTATCCCTTTATAGCATCTTTTCTGTACAAATCGAAGCATATTTGCGGGGGCTCCGTAATAAGTAAACGATATATTTTGACCGCGGCCCATTGTGTGTCCCCAGAAGGGCAAGTTACAAATCAAGAGGTGCACTAGGTGCGGTAGCACCTAGCCGGCAAAGTATAAAAAAAAATTATAAAAAAATTATTTAAATAAAAAAAAATTTATGTAAAAAGAAAAAATTAGTTAGAATTTGAAGAAAAAAAATTTTGAAAAAAATTTTGAAATATTATTATAAACGAGATAAGAATTTCTGTATTCACATTCATATTTTTTTCTTTAGCGGCGATCCTAAGCTGCCTGAATTAAGCTCAGTACGAGTAGGATCCCTTTGCTCTTTATATGGTGGAAAAATTTATCAAGTTGAAAAATTCGAAATCTACGATCTCTGGAAATTTACAGTATGTATTTTACTTTATTAATGAACAATTAATATTTATTGACAGGTTAATATTTCAGAGATCACTTCCTTATTTCGGAGATGTTGCATTGCTCAAATTAAAAACGGAAATAGAATTCAGTGAAAAAGTTCAACCAGTAAAATTACCTGAAGTCAACGTCATACCTCTAGATGGATCCACTGTTATCGTTTTGGGTTGGGGTTGGACGGATGTACGAAGCCACAATGAATAATATGCTATATGATCAATTGATATTAAATTCATTTTGTAGTACGAAGATGGACCTCAATCACGAAAAAAATATTTATTGTATACGAAAATGCAAGTCTATAACAATGAACAATGTATGAGGGATTATAGGGAGTATCTCGATGACACATACGAAGACAAGGGATTTAAATCAATCACTCTTCCAAACGACAGAATGATATGCTTGGAGGGCGAGGGTGATTTTTGTTATGTAATATACTGATATGAATTATTCAATTTATTTCCAATGAGGCGAAGCCCGCATAAAAATTTCAATTCAAAGGGCGACTCTGGGGGACCAGTGCTTGATGAAAACAACGTCCAAGTTGGCATAATAAGTTTTAATCTGGATTGTGGTACTGAAGCAGCGGTGCCTAGCGCCGTCACGGATGTAACAAGAATTATGTGGTGGATACTAGATACAGCTGGAATTCAAGAAGCATATAATGGATTTAGTGATTAATTGAAACTCGAGTAGTGTAAACTTCGTTATTTTATAAAATAATTAACAACTTGATCATTTGCAAATAAAATATAAACAAACTCGATCTTCAAAATAACATAACGAGAAAAAAGTTAAGAAGAACCAAAAACTGTTGACGTTTCAATCTTCAAGGAATTATAACTTTTTGGATTAGAGTATTTTTTCAGTTTTACAATTATGAAACCAGAATTTTTTAGTGACATTTACTCTTGAAACACGAAATTTCGGTAATAAGAAATTTAAGATTTAATTTGAGTCTTGGCCTCGCTTCTTAACGTAATTTAGATCTTTGTTAAATAAACGAATCGCATAAACTGAAACTGAATAAATTAAACTAAGTTATCCAGAAGGTATTGATCCGTTAAGTAAATAGTTGGCACATGACGCGAGCAAGTTGGAAAATTTACAAGCTTAAATTATTATAATAAAATGCATGTTTAAACTTGCATGAGATACATTCGAACCATGCATAACAATGTTCGCTTCATAATTCATGTTTTTACGATGTACAAATAAAAATTTGTTTACAATATTTTTAAGGTAGTTCCCTCAGAACTTGACCTAGAAATTCGGGCATATGTCTAGAAAAAATCTGAAAAATTCATTCGCTTTCCTTGACAAATTCTAAGACTTTTTAGTTGTACTAAGATTTTTCGTAAAGTTCATACTTATTGAGATAAAAAATCGCAAAGATTCATTGCTTGAAATTGTTTAAATTTGAATCGCTTATAGCTCATGAAAAATATATTTTAGAGAAAATTTGTAGGGGCACTTTTTTGACCAAAATGACCCTAAAAACCTTAAAAAGTGGGTTTCGGGTCAAAAAGTTTAAATTTTTATTTTTGCTATGTTTTTACATTAACTTTTTTTCAAAAACTGTATGGTCAAATTTTTCCGGTTTTTGAGCTATATTTCAGAACATACTGAACAATCATCTCCTAGTTTTTAAAAGATTTTATCGATGCTTTATTTTGTAATCACGCAAAATAGTATCTTTTCGACATGCTAGCATAGGGATCCCATGTTAAAGTACCGAACATTGATTAATTATATTGCGGAAATGGTTTTGTTAAAGTTCCTGAAATTTCTCACACATATGAAAATCACTGTCAATAATATGTGGTAAAAATTTCAAGACCCTTTATCGATAGTCATTTTTTTGAGGGAATTACCTTAAATAATGTATAGATTATAAATTTACAATAATTTTCAGGCATTCAAAATACAACTTAACTAGTAAATTTATAATAAACATCTTTTATGGAACATTATACAGTCGCGCGGATTTCGCCTATACGCGGTTGGCCAAATGTGCATTCCCTCGCTATACGCGGATGTTTTGAACTGAGGCAATGTTCATGATACTATATATTTATTTTATTGTTATCATTATCGTGATCTCTCGGTATACTTATTCAACAATTTTCTCAAAATGGCTCCAACAAGCTTCCAAGATATCCTGCAGTACTCTGAAATTTCAGATTTGATTTTACCGGGATCTGAGGTTTTAACTGTTGCGGATATTGAAGAAATTGTTAACCAGGCTGAAGAAACAGTTCAAGAAGATGAAGATAAAAAAGATGATTCGGAACAGCAATTTCACTTCAGTGAATTGAAGATTATTATTGATTCAATACAGAATGCAATCGACGAAGCCATGCCACACGATTCGATCATGATAAGATCGTTACGGTTTAAGCATAACTGTGAATTGGCTCTACAAGTTTACGAAGATTTACATAAAAACTATTTACGGACAATGAAACAAACCAAAATTACCGCATATTTTAAGAAATAAATAAATCGATAAAAGCTAAATTTCTTACTTGCCAGGAAAGCCCCTAAATGCCCGTAAAAAAATATGCGATGAATTAATAGGATATACTTTTTACTCAGCTCTCCGATTGCCCGATCACATTTCTAAAAATTTTTCTTTTTTCAGAATAAAAACTTGACATGACCTTTTTAAGAGTTCAGAGGAGGGCTTCAATTTCTTAAAATTTTGACCATTTATAGATACATAAAAACAGTTTGCACCAGTAAAACGATGGAATGTTCGAACTATATTGGTTGGAAATTCGAACTTTCAAAATTACCTTCGGATCGTGTGTACATAAATTTAAAAAAAACTAATGGTAATATTCAATTGTCACATTAATGTGTAGTAAATGTTTTGTATATTAAAGTCGATTTGTCTTAGCCGTGCCTTTCCCATTTGTACGAATTTTAATTAAAATTGATAAAAAACCCTATTTAAAATACATAAGAAAATTCAAAGTCACATTCCAGTTATATCATGTTCCTAATGATTAGTAGGTCCCGAGGAAAAACTTTTTTTCACAAAAGATTTCGATTTTTAATGGACCGATAAAATTTGTATTCATGGTCGATGGTTAATCTTCGAAATGATTAGCCGGAAGCAAAAATGATTTTCAATTCGATTTTCCATTTTGAAAATTTGAAAAATCGTTTATTTTAATCCAAAAGTGTACTAGTAGCACTAATAACAAAAGAAAACAATTGGGAACATTATTTATTTACAATGATTCCTCCGACTTATAGTGTCTAATAAATAATGCATTTGTAGAAGAAACACGCTCTGCTGGCAAAGTAACTTAGTTCTAGACATGGCTTTTTTAAATACATTGCTCATTTCGAATATGTCTATTCAAGTTGAACTTCAAACAAATTCCAAATGGTACGATGAATTTCTCAACTCTAAGGCTTCGTTTCAAGTAATAGTAATAAAAATCTGTTTTCTGTACCCTTTTCAAAATGCAAATTTTGCCTTGATAGGCAAATCATTCACGGTGCTACTTTATGTAGCTGTATTGCTTGCTATGGTATATGTCAATAACATAAAGCCAAGTATTTTCAGAATTTTAGATTTTTTATTCGTTTATTACTCAGATTGCGAAGTTAATCGAAAATACAAATCAAAAGGGAACGAACACTAGCTCTGCTGAAAGTTTATTTCAAATAATAGCCATAAGTGTAATATTATATGATTATGCATTGATGTCTATGTATATGAAAAAGGTTAATTTTTATTATAAATGATTTATAAATAAGATTTTACAGGAATTACTCTCTGGCAATTTGTATGTTTTAGATCTTCACATCTTTAA